TTCCTAAAGCTTATAACTCAAAAGTGTCATAATTCCCTAATATCATCTAACATCTAGTTCATAATCAAATTCTGGATTATTTACAATTTTAGCTGTCTTCCCCCCTCTAAATCAGGATCAAATCAAGCTTCCCACATTACATTTGGAGGAGTCTAAATTTATTTTAGAAGAGAAGGAAGTCATTAGAGGGCACTGAGCAGAAAAATGACATGTTCGAGGTTTCACATCTTACTCCTGCTACTAATAGAACAGTACTGTGAGGCAAGTGTAGAGGCAGGGAGTCCAATAAAGAGACTGAGGCAGTGGTCAAGAGATCAGAGTGGTATGGCCTAAGTACCCAGAGGTTAGATTTCAAATGTACTTTGGAGGAAGAGCTAAGGATGGGTGGGTATGAACTGTGAAAGGAAGATCAAGGATTATCTAAAGTAGGCTAGAACCATTTACTGAGATTGCAACAAGATCTTAATTGGTTTGAATTGACCATGCTGCTTAAAATATACTTAAATCAGTGAGTTAGCTGCATAAAGGAGAGGTCTCACTGTAGATGTGGATTGCGAAGTCATTAACTTGTAGACAAAGTCCCTGGGGTATGTGAATAGTTAACATGCTTGGGTGTTAGCCAAGAGGTTGGAAGTTTAGAGGTTTGAGTCCACCCAGAGGTGCCTTGAAAGAAACGCCTAGGGAAACTTGTGAAAAATCAATTAAAACCCTATAGAGCACAATTCCACAAAGTTCAACAAGACAGAAAATAACAAATGCTGGCAAGGATGTGGAGATTGGGATTCTCATACACTGCTGGTGGGACTGTCAAATGATACAACCACTGTGGAAAGCAGTATGGCAATTTCTTAAAAAGCTGGAATAAGAAGTACCATTTGACCCAGCAATTCCATTACTAGGTATATATCCTAAAGAAGTGAGAGCCAGGACATGAATAGATATATGCACACCCATGTTCATAGCAACACTATTTGCAATAGCAAAAAGATGGAAACAACCTACATGCCCATCTACAGAAGAATGGATAACCAAACTATGGTACATACACACAATGGAATACCAGGTAACCCTAAAGAATATCTTTGGCACTTAGAGTAGCTGAACTATGTTCATTCAGCAACATAGCAACATGCAAACTACAGTGACAGCCAGGTGGTGGCTGCACATGAAGTACAATGGCCTGGAATTGAAGCCAGGCCTCTCACATGGAATTCTACCACTGAATCACCATTGCCCCCTGCCCTTAGATAAGAACAGTCATTTACTGTATCTTTTACTGTACCAGGTAGGAAGGCAGAATACATACAAACAGATGCAGGTTGGTTGGAGGATTTGGTGGTGGAAAGATGAGGTAATTCTCAGCTGATTGCATCTAGTTTCCCATGATGTATGAGGAAAAGATATCTAATTAAGGAGGACAGCCAATTTGAGGCAAGAAACTATGAAATAATCGTCCCCAAGAGTGGGACAGTTAATGACTACCAAGGACATATACTAGAATCACATGCCAATATTAAGGTATAGGGTCATAAATTTAAGGTCAATCCACAAAGTTAAGGGATTATTTTCCAGTCAGGGTCAGCTGCTTAGGTACTGCCAAGGATTAAGCACATAGCTGGGTTTAACCAGGCTTGGAGTTTTGCCACGTGAGAAGTGGTACAAGTGGCAGCATAAGAAATTTTAAACATATATTTTGAATTGAATTGGGTCTCTCAAAACACAGTGAATTCCTAATCTCTGTAACTAAATATGACACCATTTAGAAATAGATGTTTTCTTGTTATGTTAATGAGGGCATACTAGACTAAGGTGGCTCCTAAGCCTAACCACTTCTGAGTATTATCTTATAAAAAAGGCAGAATAGACAAAGCGGGAAGACATGCCATGTGAAAACACCTCTACAAGACAAGGAATGCCAAAGAACACTCTCTGCTACAGAAGCTGAAAGAAACATCAATCTTCCCCTAGAGCCTACAGAGATCAAGCCTAGCCCTGCTGACCTTTAGCCTCTAGAACTGTGAGAAAATAAATTCTGTCTTTAAAGCCACCCATTTTGGGGTATTTTATCATGGCAGTCCTAAAAAACTAAAACAAATAGCATAATGTATTAATCACCCAATTTCAACAATTATCAACTTCTGCATTCTTATTTCAACTAGCCCTTTTTTCTTTTTTCCCAAAGTATACTACTGCAAATCCCAGGTATCAGAACACTTTATGTGTAAATAGTTGATAACTATCACTAGCAGATAAGGACTTTTTTAAAGCAAGACTTACGATACAGTTTATAAAAGACAAAAGCCAAACACTCACATACCCCTCACTATCAGTTAAGGAGGGGGCTCACATGTGTTCTTCAAATAAGGACTTTTTAGAAAGAAAACATAATCACAATACCATTATCACACTCAACAAAAATTATAATACCTTAATATAATTTAATACTTAGTCCAAGTTTAATTTTCTCCAATCATCTCTAAAGTACCTTTTTAGTTGGTTTTAATAATGTTCTGTGTGGTCAAATTTGCCTGGGAAATAGTATCTTCCAACAAATATTTACTGACACCTTTCATGTGGTAGGCAGGCAATGGGGCCTATGTTATTGTTACGTGCCCTGGAGTTGGACTTGACTCATAGCGACCCCTCCTTGGGCTTCCGAGGCAGTATCACTATGGAAGTAGATTGGCCCATCTTCCTTCCAAGGAGTGGCTGGTGGGTTTGAACCGTCAGCCTTCTGGTTAGCAGTCAAGTGCCTTAGGCACTATGCTACCAGAGCTCCCAATGGGGTCTACAGTGTATAGTGACAAGAAATACTGTAATGCCCCTAAGAGTCATTTCTACATAAATAGGATTAATTGATCTCTTCAGAGATCCAAATGGTGTGGGGCCTTAACGTTATCTAGCTAAAGCTCTGAACCCAGGTGAAAAGCCTCCACTATAGCTCTTTTGGGAACTCTGGTAGTGTAGTGCCTAAGGCACTTGACTGCTAACTAGAAGGCTGTCGGTTCAAACCCACCAGCCACTCCTTGGAAGGAAGATGGGGCATTTCCTAGTGATACTGCCTTGGAAACCCAAGGAGAGGTCTCTATGAGTTGGGTCCGACTCGACAGCACAGAACAACAGCTTTTTTAGCAGCTCTGTTGGTGCCGTAGTTAAGGCATTCGGCTACTAACCATAAAGGTCAGCAGTTTGAACCTACCAGCTGGTCCACAGGAGAAAGACGAGGCAATGTGCTTCTGTAAAGCCTTGGAAACCCTATGAAGTCGCTATGAGTAGGAAATGACTTGATGGCAGTGGATTTTGGATTATAGCTCTTTTACCAAATGAACTAATCTTTGGTATTATTATACTAACGTTGCCAAGAAGCAGACTCATAGTGCCACCCTTTGGGTTTCCAAGGCAGTAAATCTTTACTGAAGTAGATAGTCAAGTCTTCCTTCCAAGGAGTGGCTGGTGGGTTTGAACTGCCAGCTTTCTGGTTAGCAGTCAAATGCATTCGGCACTATGCCACCAGAGCACCTTTTAATTATTCAGCATCTCTTGCATAAAATGTACTGTACTTAGTGCTATAAAGAGTTCCAAGGCAATGAATAAGATCCCTGTGCAAAGAACTTTCAGCAGAGATAACATACATATATATATAACCAGAGTGCAAGGTAGAACCCTGAAATAAGTTCAAAGATAATACCTGAGAATAAACTGTTTCGAAAGCACCAACGATTCCTGGATTACTGGGGTGGTGGGCCTGTGACCAAGGGAATGAAGAGGGATGAGGTTGCAAGTCTGGGAGACTTGAAGTGTAATTGCAGATAATGAGAAAGGGAGAGAGAAGGGGATCTGAAACTAAAGGATCAAAACAAACAAAGGCATAAAGATGGACAAATGTGCCAAGTGTCAGGGACCAGACCAGTTTGGACGCAACATAGGCTAAGATTCCAGCCAGACTGCAAAAAGCCTAATGAATTTAAACTAAAGAATTAAGGCTTTGTTTATGACTATTGGGAGCCATTAAATATTATAGCTCATAAGTATCCCCAAGGACACTCCTTTATCATTCAACCCCAACAGGTACCAAGGGCATTGCTTGTTTAAATCATTTACAAACACTTATGACGACTGATTTAGGCTCGCATCCGGTATAAATACCAGTCATGGTATACAAATCTTGATATATCTGTGGGAAAACAAGTAGAATATATAAAACACCAACTCCAGATTGACTCCCCACATTTTCCTCCAACATTTTGCAACCTCAGAATCAAAGATATCAGCAGTTTCAAACACAACCACCACAATAGTAATCAATAAATTAATGATCATACCAGAACAGGGGTCAATTATAAAAATACGTACATAGTGGCTACAATTCATTCTTATTGTCAGGTCCCCAAATAACGTATCAAAAGATTATAGGCGCTATTACAATTTACAGAAGTGTTAGTCTGGAGTTTTCCAGAAGCCGAGACAATTATTTCGGCAACGGACTAACAACAGACAACCCTTCGGCTTTCTGGGCTTGCGTTTCCAATCGATCTTTTAAGGTACTTCCTAGAGTATTTCGAATAAAGTCAAATCATATACGTTTGGAAAAAAAACGCCTACATGAACTCCAGAAAAGTCAGCCTCAAAATAATGTGAAAAATACCGCCCCACTTCCGTTTTGCAGGAGTCCTGGTGGCACAGTGATTAAGCTCTCAGCTGCAACTCGAAAGGCTGGAGGTTCGAACTTACCAACCGCTCCAAGGGAAAAAAGATTTACAGCCTGGGAAAAAATGGGCAGTTCTACATTGTCCTACAGGATCTATGTGAGTCCAAATAGACTCAACGGCAATTTTTTTTTCCCCCTTCCTTATTGAGAGAGGCCTTTGTGAATTAAACAGTGTATCTACCAACCCAGGACGGGGGCAGCTGCCTCTTTCTCGGGTCGCGCTTTGTGCCTTCCCACCGCGTCTGCCTGAGTAACTCTCTTATCCGACCCGCCTGCGCCACTGACACCATACCCTCAGGTTAGCCCGGAGGCCCAGACTCTTGGCCAAGTTCTGCAGGTCACTGTACTTGAAGGAGTCTAAATCCTCCACGGAGTGGACGGTCATCGCGATCTGCAATCCAGGAGACCACGTACAACTCCGCCACCAAGTTCAGGACGCCGCTCAAAACTCTGGCACCACTCTTGAACGTTGACTGAGCAAATTTATAGACAGTTCAACTAAAAATACTGCACTTCCATTGGTTAAATATGTCTTGTAGGCGGGGTTTCTTGACGTTAACGAATGACGGAGCAGATTTATAGTCAGTTTAAATTAAGAACGCTGCACTTCCATTGGTTAAATATGTCTTGTAGGAGGAGTTTCTTGACGTTAACCAATAGAAAGGCTGTTTCCCTCATCAGCCACACGCTTTTCCCCATCTATCCCTGCGCGGAAGGCCGCGTGAGGCGTGTCCGCCCCCAGTAAACGATGTCCAATGAAGATGCTGGAATTCCGCGTGGGGCGGAGCCTGGTGCCTTTTCGAAAAGGAGGCGCCAGCTGTTGGGAGATGGCGGCTCGGCGCCAGCGGTATGGGTCAGTTTATGCAAAGTTGCCGCGTGGTGACTTTTGTGATGGTGGCGCTAAGAAATCTACTGAGGAACAGTCTTCCACAGCTTCTATAGAGTGGGACACACAAGTGGTAAAGGGGTCTTCGCCGCTCGGCCCCGTGGGTCTAGGCCCGGCGGAGCCTGAAGCCGGATCGCGGCTGCCGTCGTGGCTGCAGCCCGAGAGGTGCGCTGTATTCCAGTGTATACAGTGCCACGCCGTGCTTGCCGACTCGGTGTACTTCGCTTGGGACCTGTCGCGGTCTCTTGGAGCCGTGGTCTTCTCCAGTGAGTGGGGGCGTCTTATGGGGCAGGCGGAGGCAGGGTGTTCACGCGCTCTCCACCGGGGGTCTTGGAGCTGGGTTGGGAATACGGCATGAAGATTTTGAAGGGTATTAAAATTGCCAGTGTGGACGTCTTTTTTTTTTAATAAATAAAAAATACGTATATATCTGACATATATACATGCATACATATATGTATATATATGTATGTATGTGTATATGTGTGTGTGTGTGTGTGTGTGTATTCTGACAAATGTTTGTTTTCTTAGGAGTCACAAATAACGTCGATTTGGAAGAACCCTTATTGGTTGGCATTGAAGGTTCACTCAAAGGCAGGTAAGTACTGGGAATTCCTGATGGGTATCTAACTTCCTGAGAATGAGGAGCCTGGAACTGACATGGACAAGGAGAAAACAGTTTGTTCCTATCTTGCGCGGAGGGAAAACTATTTCCTCCATACAATGTACATTTGAAGGATGGTTGTTGTACCTCTTTGGCCCTTGTACAGTCGGATCCAACTCATTGCGACCCCTCTTTGAGTTTTCCAGGAGGTATCTCTAGGAAAGTAGATTGCCCAATCTTCCTTCTCAGGAGTGGCTGGTAGGTTTGAACCACCAGCCTTCTGGTTAGCAGTCAAATGCCTTAGGCACTATGCCACCAGCTTTATTTATTTATTTTATTTCTGCAGTGTTTCTTCCTATTTGTAATAGCTTTTAAGATCTCTCTAAGGGCTGCATGTTCCTCGTGGTATGTGCAAGGGCAGCTGAGAAATATATATGTCCACTACTGGAAAATAAGTTTGCATTTAACATGAAATTTGTAATAAGCTGTGGAGGACTGATTCTGTAATTAAGAAAGTGGGGAAAAACAGGTTGAATATTATGTACTTGAGTACCAAAAAAACCCAAAGCCAGTTGCTGTCTAGCCTATTTGGACTCATGGCAACCCCTTCTGCTTCACAGGAGAATTAAATTCCATACAGTTTTCAGTGGCTGTTAATCTGAGGGAAGTAAATCACCAGGCCTTTCTTCTGAGGTGCCACTGGGTGAATGTGAACTGCCAACTTCTGAGTTAGTAGTAGCACAAACAGTTTGCACCACCCAGGGACCTAACGTATTTGAATACTGCCTGGTAAACTTTGCATATTACCTATCGTGTGATTTACAAGTGACAGTAAAGTATTCAGTGAGTTTTTTACAAGTTACTGCAAGGGTCCTCAATTTTGAGTGTTGACAATTCATTCTGACCACACTTTGATTCAGTTTTAGGGTTAAAGTGTAGTCTAGTTGTTTTTGTCAGTAACCAGAAGGAGTTCTGCAGCCTGAAAAACTTAGCAAACCTGACAATCGTGGGAGAAAGAAGGGCTGCTTATGCACAGGGAGACAGCTCAGGGGGCAGGAATGCATGGAGGGATGGACACAGGGAAGAGGTAACTGTTGGGAGAAAGTGGGAGGGGAACTGTTGCATTGGGGTAAATTGTAGTCAGTGTCATGAGACAATGTGTGTGTGGACTGCTGTATGGAAAGTGAATTTGCTCTATAAATTTTCACCCAAATCACAATTAAAAAAAAAAAAAAAAAACTTAGCAAACCCAGTTAGACCTGTCTTCCCTTTCTTTTTCACAAAGAAAACTACATTGACTTCTTTCTCTTCATCCCCAGGGGATGAGAGGAAAGTAGGGGTGGCCTGCTCAGAATTGGAAGATTTGGGACCAGAGGCAGAAACTTTCTTAATCTCCTGTTATGGAGGAGCATAGTGTATCTAGATGTGTGCTGTCTAGCACTAGAAGCACTAGCTACACTTGGCTTACTGAGAACTTGAAATGTGTTTGTTCTGAATTGAGATATGCAATAAGTGCAAAATACACACAGGATTTAAAAAGCTTTGGTACAAAAAAAAAGGATTTAAGATATTAAGAACTTTTTATTATTGATTATATGTTGAAAGGGTATTTTTTATATATTGGGTTACATAAAATATATTAAAATTAATATACACAAACTTAACTACTACAGGGGTTGTAGAGAGGATACCGAAATGGCACAGTTTAAGACATCTCATATTCCCTTTTTTTAGATAATGTGTGCTCGTTACCTACTGTCAGAGAATAGATTGAAATGCTAATTACAATGCAGCTGAAGGAGCAAAAGTTTTGGAATGAGGAGAATTGAGTTCTTCCAACTTTACCTCTTAATAAAACTTGAAGGAACTCAGTCTCACCCAGTCCATTATATTTGATTAATTCTAAGATGCACTTTCTTTGTTGTTGTTTAAATATCCTAAAATTATCATGAGCGTTATAGTTGATGGCATCTTAGTATCAAAGTCATAAGGTGGATAGATCCAAAGTTCCTTCTTAATTAGAAATACCATTTGACCCAGCCATTCCATTACTGGGTATATATCCTAAAGAAGTGAAACCTAGGACAAGAATGGATATATGCACACCCATGTTCATCACAGCGCTATTTACAATAGCCAAAAGATGGAAACAACCTAGGTGTCCATTGACTGAGGAATGGATAACCAAATTATGGTACATGCACACAATGGAATACTAGGCAGCCCTAAAGAATAATGTAGAATCTGCAAAACACCACATAAAATGGATGAATTTGGGGGACATTATGTTGAGTGAAATAAGTCAATCACAGAAGGACAAATATTAGTCCGTTATTGTAAAATTCAAGGAAAGGTTTATCTATGGAAGGAAATTTTCTTTGTTGGTTACCAAAATTCCTTCTTGCACCAGTGTTCTATTATTCTGTTCCTGGTAGAAGATTTATTGTAACTAATTTCAAAAAGTACTACAGTTGGTTGACACTTTGAAATAACTTTATTACTTACAAACTTTGTTAATGTATAACAATATTTACTTGAGTGGGATTTTATTTATGTTGATTATAACTAAAGTACGTTCTTTTTCATTGTTATGGCTCATTTCAAACACACAAGAAGAAAAGGGTATAATGAACCACTTTGCACCTGTTACTCAACTAGCATAGTTAATAACTGATGGATGATCTTATTTTTTCTATAATCATATTTACTGTCCCTTTTCTGTATTATTTTGGAGCACGTACCTGAAATCATATCTTATTATTCCATTCATATTTTTCCCCCATTACTCATTTTTTTAAATTATTACTATTTTTTAATTTTTGCAGTATTCCCTCCCCTTCATAAATATTTTAGTGAGACTCAATCAGATAGGAACTTTTGGGAAAAAAAGACATAACCAATTCCAGGAAAGTTATGTTTTGGGAAACTATTTGGGTTAAGCTGAGGTGTGGTTAACTTCTGTCCAGTTGGCACCTGACTGTGGTGACCCTGTACACAATGGAATAAAACACTGCTTGGTTCTGTGCCATCCCCATGATTGGATAGAGATTGAATAATTGGGATCCATAGAGTTCTTATTAGCTGATTTTTGGAAGTAGATTGCCAGGCCTTTCTCCTAGTCTGTCTTAATCTGGAGGCTATGCTGAAACTTGTACATTATAGCAACATGACAGCCTCCACTGACAGTTGGGTATGGAAGCTCTTGAGGTGCATTGCTTGGGAATTGAACCAGGTCTCTTCCTTGGAAGGCAAGAATTCTACCACTGAACCCCCCAGTGCCTCACAAGCTAAGATAAGCATTCATATTTGTAGATTGATTCTTTGAAACTTTTTATCATGGAAAATTTTAAACATAATGCAAAGTAGAATGCTATAGCAAGCTCCCATGTAATTGTCTCCCAGCTTCATAATGACTGATATTATCACAATTCTGTGTCATCTCTATTCTCCTTCCCCCCACCCAGAGATTTTAAAGCAAATATCAGACAATAAATCAACTCTTCAAGCACTTGTCAGTATTATTTCCTGTTGTCTTCTAGATTGCTAAAATATTATAAATAAAATATCTTATAATTTTGTTACCCCATTGTGGTGAATTGCTTGATGTGGCCCTTTTACCCATTGTCTTCTATCCTGTGATGTATCATAAATCCTATTATCCATGCCTGTTTGGGGTGGTGTGGTAGTTAAGGTCAGTTATCAACTTGGCTGGGCGGCTGGTAGTAGTCATTCCCTATAATGACTAGCAATCGGCTTTGTGGTAGGATTTGTTAAAGCTATCCACTTGGGTTATTTCTGTCAGAGCAACACAGGTGAAATGTATCTTGAGTCCTGCCTTGCTGGAGAGTATAATTCAAATCACCTCCCTTAGTTTCCTTGAGGATATATGTGATAGTTGGAGCTGTATGTCAACTTGGCTGGACCACAATTCTGTGTAGTTTAAGCAGTTGTGATATGAATATTCCCATGATGGGATAAGATGAATATGTTTTGAGCAGCCAATCCATTGAAAGGGAGTTTCCCTAGGGGTGTGGCCTGCTTCCAGTATATTTATGGACATCCTGGGAAAAGAGACATTCTTCAGTGGATCGGGATTCTGTTGTGCTGCCTACAACTGTCCATGAGCGAACAGTCCACCATTATTATACCAAAAAGAATTGATTAAGGGACTTCTGGTAAGATGGTGGAATAGGCAGAAGAGCTACACAGATGCTCTTCAACAAAGAAAAGACAGACCAGTTGACACAGATACAGAAGATAATCCTGAAGCCCTGAGCTTTGAAAGGAAGGGTACAGAAGTGGATTAAACACCAACTAGCAGAAGAACCTGAATGAAAACAAATAATAATGAGACAAATGGAGCTGTGGAATGTCAGCTATCTTGATGGCACAGACAACCTAAATATTTCCAAGAGGTGTTAGAACCTGAAAATTAATGTAAAAATCGGCCATGCTTGCCAAGGGCAACATGGATGACAGTGCTGGTGGCTGATTATTTACAAGGGCAACAGCAAAGAAGGAGACAAACTGAACTGTCGACTTCCAGCTGTCTGGAGGGTGCAGCCATTTTGAATGTTTACAAGCGGTGGCCATTTTGGATATTTAAAGTGACCACATTCTTATTCAGATTCCAGGGACTTAAAAATAAGCTCTGCTTGCCAAGTACAGCACAAATATATAGGAGGCAGATGACTAGAGAGGAGACAGGTTGAGTGCAGAAGTGCTGCCAACTAGTGAATGGAGGAGCACAGTACCTTGCATACTTAGATATCATCCAAACAAAGCAAAGAAAACAAAAATTTTGGGGGAATCATTCCAACATACAATCACCAATTAAATATAAACAGAAAAACATCATAGTGTCTGGGAGACAACAGACCATCACAGTCCACACAAAAAAGCAAGATAACGCAGGAGAAACAAGGGAGTGGGATACAGACCCAAACACATCCTTGAGGAAGAAGCAGCACTGGAACTCCCTGATAAGGAATTCA